TTTTGTTCATTCCCGTTGAGTATCAGTATACAGCTCCTCTGTAGTGGACCCTGGCTGTTTTCTATATACTACTCCAAAACACAAAATGCAATGTTATGTTACCTGATATATCATTAAAATGCTGGAGTTCTGCTCCACGAGCAACGCTCTCTTGGCGTCCCGTTCTCATCAAAAATCCCTCCTTTCACCAAAACAAATCTGCTGCACTAATCAGCATGCTTACCCCCCAGCACAAAATCCTTCTGCAAGCCAAAATTTTCCTCAAACAAAAATTCAAGAGTCCCCTCTTCCTCCTCGTACAAATCCGCCTTCTCTGCTGAATATCCTACTTCCAGCATAAGTCCCCACCACCACCAAAATTTCTCTTCCAAAGAAAAGTCTTTACCCCCAAATTTTTCCTTCTAGTAGAAGTCTTCACCCCCATCTCTTTTTCCAGCACAAATTAGGGTCATTGTGCCCCCCCCCCCCATACACATACACACACACACAATACCAACTCCCTTGCTGAACTTAGCAGATTTCAGATACAACGCAGCAAGCAAAGGGATTCTTTACAGCACAGGTGCCAGATCTGGCCCTCCAGGCCATTTCATGTGGCCCTTGCACCTCTCCTGCAGGTACCCCCTTGTCTACGTCCCCCACCTTGTCTCAGCAGTCAGCAGCAGGGAGGAGAATAGAACATCTTTGCCAAATCCTGCACCTCTCAGTGCAGCTGCAACACCCCCTCCTCTCTGCCTCCCCTGGTCTAAGTATTCAGCAGACTCTGGTAACTGACTCCACTCCTCCTCTGGTCCTCCTCCAGACCCTGCACTTTCTGGTTTGCAGCTCTGCCCCCAAAGAGCGTACAGAGTGATGTTAGGGAGGGTATCAGATTCTTGACATCTGATATAATGGGGGGGTGGGGTGCTCTGGATATCTAGTCTTACAGATATAACTGGCCCTTTGATTGCAACCATAATGCTGATATGGCCCGCGAATAAATGGAGTTCGACACCCCTGCTATACAGGCTCCAGGCACTAGTAATACCCCTGCTTTTGCAATTGAGAATGTTAGCAATTTTCATTGTATGAGAAAGCCTCATTGTTCCATAAGTAACTCATATGAAAAATTACCACTTACCAGCTTGCAGGATCGAAAAGTTATAATTAAACATATACATGTCAGGTGCCTATAACCCAAGAACCATATATGCGTAAGTATAGTATGTGACCCTGCCACGTGATTTCATTTGGTTTTTTGGTTTTTTTTTTTTTTCATAGTGAGAAATGGTTGCTCACTAGTAGTGGATATGAAGGATGTACAGCTATTAAACACAAAGGGGGATATTTACTAAAACTGGTGAACTCAGAATCTGGTGCAGCTTTGCATAGTAGCCAAGCAGTTTTAACTTCAGCTTGTTCAATTAAGCCCTGCCAAGAAAACCTGGAAGCTGAGTGGTTTCTCTGCAGAGCTGCACCAGATTTTACACCTTCCAGTTTTAATAAATCTTCCCCAACGTTTTTAGGATATATTTGTACATATATTTGAGCTTAGATAAATGATATATTTAGCTGTAGATATCAGTTCTGGCCTAAATATATATAGAAAGCTGTACAACTGGTTGTGGGCCTTACCCACTTGCAGACTGCCCACTAGCAATGCATTGCAGACAGTCGGCATGTACAAGCACAGCAACGTACCTATACATTGCTGGCCTGATCTGAGTACAGGGTGCGTGCTTGCACCCCCGCCCACTTGTGATTGTATTCAAATGGAGTTTGTTAGCAGGTCCTGGCCAATGATTCATGGCCGGGAGCTGCTGATTTTCTTTGTCCAATAACAACCCAAAGCCCTGTGTTAACAATCAACACAGGGCCCTGTACAGAGGGAATGATCTCTCTTTTTTCTCACTGTAAAGCAGGGAGATGAAACAGAGATTTTTAGTAAAAAAACAGCACGCATTACACAAATGAAGGAGATGTTAAGCTCTTCCCAGCCAGTGTCTTTAGTACAGTGACAGTATATATTATTATCACCAATCACTGTATTAGTGTCACTAGATATTACAGTGTCAGTTAGTCAGTTCCTACCCAGTGTCAGTTGGTGTCAGATTGCCTGCCGCACTATCACAGTCCCACTAATAACTTTCACGCAAACCAATCAATGTACACTTATTGGGAATTTTTTTTTACCAAAGACATGTAGCAGAATACATTTTGGCCTAAACCTATGAAGAAATTAGATTTTTTTAATTGCATATGTTTTATAGCAGAAAGTAGAAAATATTGGGGTTTATTTTTTTAAAAATGTGTGGTCTTTTTTCGTTTATATAATTAAAAAATAAAAAATACAGTGGTGATCAAATACCACCAAAAGAAAGCTCTAGTTGTGTGAAAAAAATGATATAATTGTTGTTTGGTAACAGCGTCGCATGACTGCTCAATTACCAGTTTAAAAGAGTGCAGTGCTGAATAGCAAAAAATGCCCTGGTCATGAAGGGGGTAAGACCTTCCGTAGCTCAAGTGGTTACTTATAGAAAGTTATTGTATGTCCTTCTAAGTGTATGCAAATTCTAACAATCAACTTCTCTTATTTTCTCCCTTTTGGTCCATTAACTATATCATTGAAAGGTGCAAAAAAAAAAAAATACCTGTTGATCATGTCAGAGTAATCGTGTGTCCTTTGTTATCCCACAGAGTATGCTAGGATAGGAGGAGCAGCGGGGGCAGCTGTATACAAAGGAATCAATCTCTCCATATTCCTCCTGCAGCTGCTGAATTCCTGAGAGAGGGAGGGAGGGAGGGAGAAGCCAGCATTCAGCGGCTGCAGGAGGAACACAGATAGATCAGTTCCTCTGTATGCAGCCACCCATCGCTCCTCCTATCCTGGCATACAGGGGGACCACACAGGTAAAATAAAAATGGCCACCGCCCAAGTCTATAACTGGCTTATATAGCAAGGACACATAAACAGGCATCGCATAACGAATGAAGGGGAGAGAACAATGTTCCTGGACAACTTGCCAGCCAGCTTGCCAACAACCAAATTAACCTGTCTAACAGTATTCTTTTATGACAGGGGTTTAGTTAGCACACATTTGCAAATACATATGTAAGCCACAGAGCCACGTTACGGCACCCTGATAATCTGTGGTCCTAACTATACAATTTGAGAGCCCCCATAGTAGAGGCACATGTATTTAATGGATAGATCAAGGGCAGGTGGACCTGAGGGAGCCAACCCCTCTTAAAGGCAAAGGAGTGCACAGGACCCCTAGCATATAGCATAATGGCAGCCAGGGTGTCCTAGTGCACCCACGTACCTAAACTCCAACATGCAAATAAAAATGGCCACCGCCCAAGTCTATAACTGGCTTATATAGCAAGGACACATAAACAGGCATCGCATAACGAATGAAGGGGACCACACAGGTCCCCTGCATCATGGGGTCTGGTTGCAATTGCGACCTCTGCGACCCCTGTATGTAGAGCCCTGGTCTATGCCCTTTCACCCCTTTACACTATGGCCAAGGGCCTTTGATCACAAGTGTTTCACCATACAGTTAACAACAGCACAAAGTTACAAGGGATTTGAGCTGGAACAGCCTTTGGTTTATATAGATACCATCTGTATATGTTTAAATTAGAGTGAATTGCTGGTCATATATCTTATACATGACATGAGAAATGACCCTGTACATTACAGATCTGAGAAATTTTCATTATTTTTGCTTAGCATACTGTATGTACTATTCCTACAGAATGAATGCATTTCTTCTTGATTGCATGAAAGGACAGTCTCTGGAATTCTCAGGTCTATACAACAAGAAATGAAAATGTACAATTTTCAAGGCAAGAATACACTTCAAATGCTTGTTGCGCTAACATAAAAAACTCCCAGTAGACAGACACAAGGACTTATACTAGTGAGCTGGCTAAATAAACTAGGATGGAATGCATATAGATTTTTTATTCAATCCGTGAATCATGTACAACTCTTTCAATTTGCATTTAATGTTACATGTTGTCCTGAATTTCTGGGCTGATCACATGAGCTTAACATGGGAATATTTAATTGAGGCGGCAGTCCACCCTCTGTTTTGTTATTGTAATATTTCATCAGCACATAAATGTGGGATTATGAAACAAATTCAAATTTATTTCACTGACTGTCTCAATTTAATCCATCAACCATATAGGGTAGGTATTATTATAGGCACCACATCCTGATAACTGTATGTCTGTAAATAACTTTGGACTTTAATGGTTCACAAGGAACACAGTCTCAGACAAATTAAAACATATATACATTTTATTTCACAATTAAAAATATTCATCATTTAAAATTCATCATTTAAAAAATCAAACATTAAGATAAATTTGACTCTACAAGAATAAGTATTTTCCCTTTATATGTTGTAAAATTTGTATAGTGATATCCCACTGTACAGGGAGCTGTATGAGGGACAAATACTTATTCCTGTACAGTCAAGTTTACCATCGAGAGCGTTTTTAATGTTTTAAATTGTGAATTTATATAACTGTGGAATTTGAATAAGTTTTTGTTTGTCTGATACTGTGTTCCTTGTGTACCATTAAAGTATAGCTTTTTTATAAAGTAAAGTAAAACATTTTTTTTCACTTTTGATAAAGTTGGGATGGAGTAGAACAGCCTTTTTCAACAAGGGTGCCCAGGTACCCTGGGGTGCCTTGAGGTTTCTTCAGGGGTGCCTTAAAATTGCCCAGAATTTGTATACAAGCCAGCGGGTCAATCCTGCCTTTTAGTTGCACAAAGCCACAGGTTTTCATTGTGTACCATTACGACCTTCTAGCCACCAGCGTCCTGACAACCAATGACATCATCAGCTGATAAGGAGGATGTCAGCTGCTTGCACAGCATCCTTTTTTTACCCTCCCCTGCCCCTCTCCATCATTGCTGGGAATTAATTAGCTCAGTGATGGAGAAAAAACTAAGGGAGAAGTGAAACGCTGGAATAATACACAGTACCAATGTGCAAAAGTGTATTTGCTTTGGAAGAATAAATCATCTCTAATGTTGGGTGTCCTACATGTGTGGATGTTGCTGCATTATATTAGAATAGTTTTTCACATTTTAGAATGGTGTGACCTTTTAAAAGTATGGACAGTCTTGAGGCATATCATTTTAGAATGGGGTGCCTCAAGACTGTCCATAATTTTAAAGGGTGCCTCGGGACTGTCCATAATTTTAAAGGGTGCCTTGACTGAAAAAAAAGGTTGAAAAACACTGCAATAGAGCACCTATTAGGTTTTTATTGCAGTCTGTGCTCCCATTAGGGAGATTCAACCTCTCTATTTGTCTTGTTTACCATTATCATCTAAATTGAAAGTAAAGAAAACCTCAAATTTGGTGTAGAGGGGATTATCTCTCACTTTCTGTTTTGGCTATGGGACAGGAAGTGATGGTATATCTCCCCAATAGGACACAAATGGCAAAAATAAACTGACAGGGGTTATAACCCTCCCTTGCTCTATCCAAAATTAAAAATGTTGCCTTTAGTTTTACTTTAAAGTCCATTATCTACCAAAATGATTTACATACAGCCCATTTCATCCATACTGTCCTGTTTTATGGGTTTTTGAATGGGGTGCTAATAGTCAAATACATAACAGTTTGCAACTGCAACTTTGAAAAATATATTACTTGGATATCATGGAGCAAAGTGCACCAGTCTATCAAATATACTCAATGTTTTCCATGTGATTTGCACATTACTGCAGCTATACCAAATTTTATTAGATCTAGCTTTTGAACTGAGCAAGTCTTTTTTGGTAGCATCCATTCCAAACTCATGCAGTTGAATATAGAATTCTTATGATAATCCTTTCCAATAATTCTGTTAGTGCTTTTCCTGCTTTTATTGAGTTTCTTAAAATGACATCACCGTTATAAAACCTTATGCAGATATTCTATGTTTCGTCAATGTACAGTTGTGACCAAAATTATTCAACCCCCACTGAAATTGAGTGTTTTGGCCAGTTTGACATTGCTTTTGATCATTCAGTCATCTTGCTTACATTTACATTAAAGAGGCACTTGTAGGTCAGACAAATATAACATAACAGTTATAATGAAATAACCACAAATGTCTTTTCTGTGCTCACAGCATTATCAGTTTTATTCAACCCCCAAGTGACATTCAATCTTAGTACTTAGTACAGCATCCTTTTACAGTTATAACAGCTTTTAAACGTGAAGCATAGCTTGACACAAGTGTCTTGCAGCGATCTACGGGTATCTTCGCCCATTCTTCATGGGCAAAGGCCTCCAGTTCAGTCACATTCTTAGGCTTGCGCACTGCAACTGCTTTCTTTAAGTCCCACCAGAGGTTCTCAATCGGATTTAAGTCTGGTGACTGCGATGGCCACTCCAAAATGTTCCAGCCTTTCCTCTGCAACCATGCTCTAGTGGACTTGGAGGTATGCTTGGGATCATTGTCCTGTTGAAAGGTCCAACGTCTCCCCAAGCCTCAGGTGTGTGACGGACTGCATCACGTTTCCATCCAATATCTCCTGGTACTGAAGAGAATCATGGTACCTTGCACACGCTGAAGCTTCCCTGTACCTGCAGAAGCAAAACAGCCCCAAAGCATGATTGACCCTCCACCATGCTTCACAGTAGGCAAGGTGTTCTTTTCATCATAGGCCTTGTTCTTCCTCCTCCAAACATAGCGTTGATCCATGGGCCCAAACAGTTCTAATTTTGTTTCATCAGTCCACAGAACACTATCCCACAACTTTTGTGGTTTGTCCACATGGCTTTTGGCATACTGCAGTCGACTCTTCTTATTCTTTGGAGACAGCAAGGGGTACGCCTGGGAGTTCTGGCACGGAGGCCTTCATTACGCAGTGTGCGTCTTATTGTCTGGGCTGAAACTTCTGTACCCACATCTGACAAATCTTTTCTCAGTTCCTCAGCAGTCACACGGGGACTTCTCTCCACTCTACGCTTCAGGTAGCGCACAGCAGTCGAAGTCAGCATCTTCTTTCTGCCACGACCAGGTAGCGTTTCAACAGTGCCCTTTGCCTTGAATTTGCGAATGATGCTTCCTAAGGTGTCTCTTGGTATGTTTAACATCTTTGCAATCTTCTTATAGCCATTGCCCTTCCTGTGAAGAGAAATCACCTCTTCTCTCTTGTCTTCCTGGACCATTCTCTTGCCTTCACCATGTTTGTAACCACACCAGTAAATGTCTAGAAGGAGCTGAGTATCACAGTCATTTTAAAGCTGCCTAATTGGTGCTTATTATGCTTGATTTGCTGCTCGGTGACATCCACAGGTGTTTTCAATACCTGATGGAAAGCACCTGTATGAACCTCTGTTCTTCAGAGTGTAGTCTTTAAGGGGTTGAATAATTGTGGCAATGAAGAAACCACATAAGAACCATTTACTACTGTATTACATAAACAATTGATGTCATTTTAGTTGCATTTGGGTAGTTACAACGTCCTTGTAGGATTTGATTCTGAATACAATTCCAAATGTACACTATAGTCCCTAAACCCCTTTACAGCATTGGGGGTTGAATAATTTTGGTCACAACTGTAAATAGATCATATCTGACAATAAAAAGTGCCCAAAGGTTTCGGTATTACTGTTTTCTCCTCCATTAATTCAGTACAGAAATCCCCCTATTTTTATTTGCCTTCAGGTAATGTTACCCTATAATTTGTTCTCTACAATATTTTCCTCTACAGTTTAATCTCCTCTCATCCTCAGTCCCATTTCCTCAACCTGACCCAGGACTGACCTCCAGGTTATGTGTTTCTCTCCATGTCACCGACTGACTGATGGTGTTGCCCTCTACCTACTTTTAATACATTATTTAATTACTTGCCCTTGACTACATTGCTCCTCCTTTTCTCTGTCATTTTAAAATTGGATCCCTGAATTCCATTTTAGGTGTGATCCAGGTCCTCCCCGCTGCTCTCACATATTGTTTAAATGTCATAGACTCATCATGGCATACATTCTGGGAGCTGTATTCATGTCACACAGCACACGTAGCACATGACCATTTATCATTGTGGTTTATCTACAAGGTCTTCTCTATGACTTAAGGCAGAATATCAATCTACTGATTTTAATGTAACATTTTATTGCTTTTTTTATATGCTGTTTGGTAAAAACAACATAGCAGAATCTTTGATGAATCCACTCATTTACAGTATATATATCCACAGCTACATATTTCTCAAGGATAACACAACTATGATAGCCTGGAGCTGTGATTTTTTTAGGGGGTTATTTAAAGAGCAATTCCAGGCAACAAGTTTAAAGTGCTACTAACACTATCCAGTAAGCACAGCAACTATTAGAAAATTAGAGCACAGCCATAAAACAAGATAAGGTAAGTGAGCGCAATCTCAAGCGAGCAGCTAGCATACAAGGCAATCCTCAACACCTAAACTGATAATATCGATAAAAGGTATGCAGCGCTATATAAGGTATTGCAATAAAATGGTACAAGAATCATCCGTATAACCCAGAACCAGCATAAATCGATTCATAGAAAAAAGATCCATATGAACCGTCAATCAAACGTGAACAGTCTTAAATGTGATGTAAATGGTGAGGAAGAAAAAGTGACAATAACACAATAGTGTTTGGTGTATTCCAGATCCAGTTGGACTTGTAGAAGAATCCAGTAAAATTGTGCGCTTACCACAAAGACATACAAACTGAGCGTTGTATGTATAACAGCAGACATCAGGGCCTGGTCAGCAAATAAAGCAGCATACGATCACCATGGTAGACACTGAAAGATGATTGGATACACACACGGGGGTCACCTCAGGTTTCACAGAGGTCCAACAGAGTCCACAGCCACAGCCATAGAACAGTCTAGCTGTACTAAAGCAATACAAGCTGATTTCAGATCAATTACTTTAGTATTACTTTATATATCTACTGTTTGCTAACGTTATAAAGCTTAGTCAATTTTCCTAAATCTGTTGTGTGTAATCTCACACAGAACAAGCACAGACTTTCTGTAGGAGAGAAAATGTATGAAGCCTTGGGTGGTCCATGGGCATTTCATTCTCTCTAGCAGGTGAGTTTCAAGATGACCAGATTACTGATAAATAAGAATATAATTGACTAGTGCATCACAGCAATGTCCCACCACCCCTTAATCATACCAGGCCTCATGCCCTCAACATGTGAGGGTTCCCTGACAGGGAGCACCTTGTCCCAATGTTAATGAGGACAAGGGCATCTTTTCCATAATCCATGCTGGAGGTTGTGGGGGTCTGCAGGCAGGGGCTTTATTGAAATCTGGAATTCCCCTTTAAAGGTAAGGGGGTCCCCCACACTGAATGAATAGGTGGTAAATAGTACCCCTACTCATTCACAAAAAATGAGACCTAGAAATAAAGATGACTAAGTATTTGACAAGTCATTTAAAAAAAAAAAAATTCTTTTTAAATTCCCCAAAAATGTCCTTTGTTGTAAATCCATCATCATTCACCTGCTGACTTGCCAAAATTAAAAACCCAGTGGAACCAGCACATACGACCGATCCCAATGGTACTGCTTGCCAAATGACAATTTCCCAAGTTGTCATCAGCTATATAAGGGAAGCAGTGGGGATGGTAGTGATATATATGACCAAATATGAGGATTATCATATTTGGTCAATGTCATTACCCAAATATGGCCAGTGACCATAATTGGGAAGGGATGTTCTTTCTATACCCTCCCATTACTCACGTAGTCAGGAATTCCCAGCCATGTCAGCAATGTGCCAGTTACAGTGGCGATTACCAGGAATGCATTGGGTGCCAGCTCCCACTGTTTCCTTATGGCTGGTACACACAATCATTTTTTTTGTTTCAACCCAGCAGTCTGAACGAAAAAAAAACTGAGAGACTGCTGTTCTAACATATGCTAGTGTAGCAATCTCTCCCACTGTGCTGACAGGAGGATTCCCCCACTAGAAGTGGTAGAAATATATATGATGCTTGGCTCCCACCAAACAGGCATTCCTTCAAATGCCTGATTGCTCATTCCTGTTGGGAGTAGATTTATAGCCTTTAAAGCTTATAGTCATCCCACCATTACTCTGAAACTAACCCTGTACGA